TGGAGCAAAGTTTAAAATTATCAGTTTTATGAAAGTCAAAAATTTAGATTTTTACCTTGAGAGACACAGCTTAAAAAGGACCTGTTTATAGTTTACTCTTTTTTCCTAATACGTGACATGATTTAATTGACTTCCAAATAATGGTTTGGTATGTACTGGGATAAAATTAAAGCTCGGGGCCAGGCGTGGAGGCTCACGCCTATAATCCCAGCACCGCGGGAGGCCAAGGAGGATGGATCACTTGAGGCCAGGAGTTCGAGACCAGCCTGGCCGACATAGCGAAACCCAGTCTCTGCTAAAAATACAAAGTCAGCCAGGCATGGTGGCACATACCTGTAATGCCAGCTACTTAGGAGGCTGAGGCACAAGAATCGCTTGAGCCCAGGAGGCAGAGGCTGCAGTGAACAGAGATCGCACCACTGCACTCCAGCCTGGGCGACTGAGCAAAACTCCGTCTCAACAACAACAAAATTAAAGCCTGCGTCTTCTAAGAAATAATGTCAGAGAATAACTGTTAGTTATCTTTGGTTCACTGCGCATGACTCCCCTGCACTGGTCACCCCTCTCTCGCTCTCCTCACCCAGTGCAAGGTCCTGGTCGGAAAGTACGTTTGTCTGCACTTACCTAATAATGCCCTCTGTATTTTACAATACAGATTTCTACTTTTCTTGCTTTTCACCTCAAGTAATATAAAGCCCTCAGAAAAGAGAGGGCTACAGAGCAAGGCAATTAGTGGAAATACCGCTGGGTAGAGTCAGATGCTTTGCCAACAACAAAAAAAAAAAATGTAAAGGTAAAACAGCTCCACTGAATTTTATTTTGCTAAGAATTTTCTGAATCTTTTAGTCCACCTACGTAATTTTACTGATTAAATGACCCAAATTAAATTTTTCCTGCAGATCTTTACTCCACTAAGATCGTTTAAAAATACGCTCAACTATTGTCACTAAAAGCTTCAATCCCTCAAGCTCATCTCAGGTAAGACGGGCAGGAAGCTGTCAGCCCCTCCCTCCGCTGCCCACCTTTCTCTCCACTTTCTGAGCTTGGTATCTTCCTGCTAGTCCCTGTGCTTGGCAGCCTTACCCTACCCCACCGTTCCGCTCCATGTTCTCATCCTGCCTAAGTAATGTTTTTGCATTAGGAAAAACACACCCTTTCCAATCAAAACCTATCTACCAGGCCAGGTGTGTGGTTCACCCCTGCAATCCCATCTGTTTTGGAGGCCAAGGTGGGAGGATTGCACAAGCCCAGGAATTCAAGGCCAATGTGGGCAACATAGAGAGACCTTGTCTCTACCAAAGAAAAACCCCACAACCCTATCTGCCAGGTACTATTTCATCAGGGGCCTGTTGTTTGCCCAGTAATGGCAACCTCATATACACGAACATGCATGGCACTAGCGCTGTAGCTTACGGAAAACATTCCTGCCTCAACAGAAGATCAGGAATTTATGAAAGGACCCCAGATGGGGTGGGACTAGTGAGTTCCAAATGTTTTTAAATTTACAGAAACTGATTTTGAAATGTGCAAGTACACTCTGAAGCACTGAGGGTGTGCTCTGAAGCAAGAATGCACCAAGTGGGGGACAGATGCCCACAGGAGAGGCCCGTCCCAGCACCAGCCACTTGTGACGTCACACGTGCCTGTGATGTTAAGCTGGCTGGAGAACTGATGTGGGCCAGCCCCCAACTCCAGTTGTGGGGTTACCACCAGGGGCCAGTGTGATCAGATAACCTAATTACAAAAAGGAAGTCAGAAATCTGGATGGTTATGAGAAATGCTAGGTTTCTATTTTTTATTTTATTTTATTTTTACAGACAGGGTCTCCCTCTGTTGCTCGGGCTGGAGGGCCGTGGTGTGGTCATCACTCACTGGAACCCTGAACTCCTGAGCTTAAGGGGTCTTCTCATCTCAGCCTCTGAAGCAGTTGGGATGACAGGGGCATGCCACCAGCCAGCTAGTTTTTTTTTTTCATTTTTTATAGAGATGGGGTCTCACTATATTGCCCAGGTGGGTCTTAAAATCCTGGGCTGGTGATCCTCCTACCTTGGCCCCCCAAAGTGCTGGGATTACAGGCGTGAGCCACTGCACCCAGCCTGGTTTCTAATTTTTAAATGCTAGGTTATTTAAACAAACAAAACACTGTGAGCAAAGCAGGATATCTCTGAGCTGAGCTCATGGGCCTTTAAGGTCTGGACCTGCATCAGGTTGGGGCAGACTCAGGGATAGAATGAAAATCAGGATGAAATCAGTTAAGACCATGAAAACAAAAATGGATGGAAATCCCATATTGGGTGGAAGGCCGGGTTATGAGAACAGGGCTCGCTAGATGAGTGCTTGACAGGCCAAAAAAAAA